CAAATCATGAAAACGATACCACTAATTCCTTAAAACGTGGAAGTGGAGGAAGTTTTTATGAAAAAAATCATTTTGTGGGCTTTTATGGTTTTGGTTTAAATTTTTTAAAATAATTAGAATAAAAAATTATATTTTTAATCATTTTAAAAAATTACTTTAAATAGCTTTTAAAAATAATTTAATGTGGCATACAAGGGATAGTATTTTAAAAAATGATGGATGCAAAAATATATCATAAAATAAAAAATCAAAGGATATATTATAAAATTTAAAATAACTTATTAATAGTGACTTTTTTAATTAATGTAATCAAACATAAAACAATCTCTGTTTTTTTATACAATTTATAGAAATTAAACATCTTCTTATAAAACATCTTAAATTATCTAAAAATTATTTATTTTTAAATTTTAAATAAACAAACCCAAAATGAGAAGGCGGTTATTTCTAAAAAAAAATTAAAAAAATATGGAGCTCGAAGAGTTAGTGGAGTGGCTTGGGACTAAGTGAAGCTTGTTTACAATAGGGGAGAGGAGAGATCTGATAACTCAAGGCACCGTTGGAATCACCGTCACAATTAAAAGACGAATCAAAACAAGCATCTTTAGATAATTCTTCAGCAGTTCCTTGTTTCCTCGCTACACATTGTTTGAGTGTCTTTAGAGTGCTGTCTTCATTTACATGTGTTGGCTATAGCTGGTAAAATCTAGTCTGAGTCGTGTCTAAGGACACTGTCCTTAAGAGCTATTCCGCCACATTGGATTGATCGCACAGCAGCTCCTCAAAATTAAACAGACTCTTTCTATTAAAAGTAGGGACACAGAATAACAGAAACTCACAGAATATGCTCAGGTGTATAATAGAAGAGGAGAAAAAGGCTAAGAGTACTAAAACTCTCTGAACTTGTGGCAAGCATTTCCTTTATAGGCAGACCTCATAACGCTGGGCAATAAAACCACCTTAATCACAATTAAAAAAAGATTTCAAATAATAATGTTGTTTAAATTATATGTTATAAATTAATAAATAAACTTAAATAAATAATTAATATTATTAATTTATAATAATTTCTTTTAAAATACTAAAAAATATTTATAATATCCAACAACATGCGAGGTCATGCATGGTACCGTCGATCTCTCCAATTCATCCAAAGTTCACTTTCCATCCACTTGCAATGTCTTGCTCCTTTCGATTTCATACAGTGATGGACCTAGAAAATTTATATTTTTTAAATGTTAGTTGGGGGAATTTATATCAAGCAATATTAATACCTTTTAAATGTAGTTATAAATATTTATTATTTAATAAAAATAAATATTTAAAAATTAATTGCACAAGAAATAATAAAAAAAACTATAAAATTATAATAAATTTAAAAATAAATTATTTTGATATAAGAAAAAATTATATTGAAAATGATAGAATAAGTGGTTGTTATTGATATTTAATGTCATACTCTGATAATCTTTTTTAATGAAAAGAATCATGCTTTTTTAAAATAAATATTTTCAATACAAACCATTAAAAAAAATTTCTATTTTATTAAAAAGTGTTATCTTCACAATGAATGAGTATGCATTAAAAATTAAGGAATCTGGCCTCGCAAGTTATATTTTAGAAAATAAATATTAATATTTTATTTGAAAGGTTGAAAAAATATTTAATAATATTTTATTATATTCTTATATTTATAATACGAACCAACATTCTTTTTAGTTTCTCATATTGATACCTTTATCCACTACAAAATCAATGATCAAAATAATATTATCTTTTTCGGTTGAACGAGTAAGAAAATGTTCGAGTAATAAAAAGTGAAGACTTGAATTTGTTTTTTTAAGAAGTCAAGGGATGCAAGGGCAATATTTTTTTGGGAGAGGACCCAAAGTGGGTTTTCCCCTATAACAATTATGACATGACATTGGTATTCGTGGGGACAACTGCCCCATTTGCTCAGACGTGGGTTCGTCCTCGGTTTCATATGCACGTCACACTTTAGGAGAAATTCGTGGTTTATTTTATTTTATTTTTATTAGCCACTATGCAAAAAAGATTGATTCTTGATTACTTTTTTTTTTTCTAATTAGATAGTAATTTAAAAGTTACTTTAGGAGAAGGAAATTGTTTTTAAATATTTTGCATTTAATAAGATTTTTTAACAATATCAATAATTTAATAACCTCTTAAAACTCTAATGATATAATTAGAAGTGACTGATGTCAAATAAATAAATTATTATTTATTACAATTCATGAACATGTACATTGACCAGCGTAGTTCTTCACAAGCGCGCACACACATCAATAAATGTAGTGTACACATGTAAAAAATACATGTAATTAAATACAGAAATTGAAAAGAAATGCTACAATACAATATGTATTTATTTTACCTATCTTTTCATTTTCAACTACAATACTGTTCTTTTTTCCAAGGAAAAAGAAAAAAAGAGGAGAGGGAATACTTGACTGGGATAAAACGCAAGAACTGAACTAAACTGAAACACAAAAAATTGAAACTGCTCATCAGTGGGCCCCGCTATTACAGCCCCATTGATAACATGTACTCCTCGCCTCAACTGCCCCTCGTAACAATGTGCCTTCGCTGTCGCTCCGCAACCTCTTTTGTTTCTTTCTTATTCAAAAGCCAGCTCCCACGTAGCTTATCACTTCTCCACGTTTTCCTTTCTCCAAAAAATGCCCTTCTTACCCTGCACTCTGTTTTTTCTATGAACTATATTTCACTTCACATTATCCAAACACTTCAGCTCAAGGCTTTGCCTCTTGGGAACTCATGATCTATTTTTTTAAAGTCTACATGGTATAAAAACTTGTCTTATTTTTTCCCTAGGAGTGAAACGCACGTTGACTGGTCTAACGAAACGTACAAAGCGACCGAGAGGATAGGGAGCGGATTATTTTTGAAAAGGACGTTATATGGAAGCGATTGAGAGGAAACGGATGAGGATCACATTTCCATGCACCCAAGCCCCAAGGGAGGATAAGGATATGAGGAGGTCAAAGCGGCAAGGATGGGCTGTTACTGAAATCGAAAGAGCTCAGAAACGCTGCGTTTTCCAATGGCTGATCTCTCAAGTTTTGAGCTTTCTCAGCTCTGACCAGCTTTTAACTCGCTGAGTCTGCTTTGTCTCTGAGATAAGAACCTGCCAAAATCAGCTTCAACAGTTTCTGCTTTCTCCCCATTTCAACCTGCTTGCTTTTTTGATTGAGTGCATCGTACTTCACTTTTCAAATTTAAAGATTCCTGCTACATTGATTCACTCCCTCCAAAAAAAAATTCCCGCCTTTTCTCCTTTCACCGTAGATAAACAAAGACCACATTATCAGGAGTGCTTTGCAGTTGCACATGAAAACGACAGTATTTTATCTATCATCGATTCATCATATCAAAGGTCCCGATTATTAGTCACCATAACTTGGAACATATAAATTTCAATGTCACAAGTGTAATTTGGGTAGAGGAATTAGTTGGAGTGTAAGAGCATTAATTAATAAAAAAAATTACGTATAAATTTCATAGAATAGACTTATTTATCAACATATCTTGTGAAATTTGAAACTATAATCAAGTCTTAAGGACTTAGGTGTAATTTAAAATTAATCTACAAAGATAATAATATTCTTACTTAATATATATTGTATCAATTAAATAATTAATTTATAACTATTTCTTCGACAATTAGCAACTATAATTTTAATTTTTTACAACTGTAATTTCATATATTTAATAGTTAAGTAATCATGTGTCATTAATAAAGTGTAATATTAATTATTTATAATTATTTTATTAAAAATTTATAACTATAATTTTAATTTTTGTAATTATAGCTTCACACATTTAATAATTAAACTAATAAATTTAACTATCGAATATATAAAGTTATAGTTATAAACAGTTAAAGTTATAATTATAAAATACTGATAAACTAATTATAAATTATTTGATCAATATAATATATATATTTTAATAGGAGCATTATTATCTTTTTATTTTAATTTTAAATTACACTTAATTTTTAAGAGACTTAATTGCAATTTTTTAATTTCATAAACTTTATTTGTAAATAAATTTGTTTCACAAAATCTATATATAATTTTTTCAAAATTAATATACTCTCCTAATCTTTATTATAAGATACCTTCTGAAATAATTTGTTAGTCTTTGATACAATGCAAATAAAAGGTTATTTATAACTATTTTTTAATTTTATTCTTTAAATTTAATTTTATAACTCCTCATATACCGTGTATTTTATTTCTATTTTTAATAAGAGTAAAATTTAAAAAATTATTTCAAGACATTTAATAAACTAATTACTCCTTCGTCTTAAATTATAGGACACTTTTGAAAAAGTTTTTCTATCCCAAAATATAAAACACTTTAAAAAAATTAAAATTTTATGAAATACACTAATTTAGATATTATCCTTTTTTTTTCTATAATTAATTTTCATTTCTTCTCTTTTTAATGTATTAAATGATTGACATTTTAAAAAATTTATATTTTTATTTTAAAAATATAAGATTGTTAAATCTATTAAATAAAGTTTATTACTATGCAAAATTTTATCTAAAAATGTCTTATGATTTAAAACAGAGGGAGTATTATTTTTTGATTTTAGTGAAGTTAAGCATAATTTGTAATACAGACTAAATAGAATATTGTATTATCATGCTAATATTAAAAAGGGCCTTTTCACTTCTGGGGCGGCGTTTTTCATCACCCTGAAGAATTTAAGTGTTTCATCCAAAACTAGAAGAATTTAAGTGCCTCGTGAACAATAACAACGGTTCTCATCGTGGAGAGACTGGGAATAATACTCTGCTCACCTCGTTAGTTTAAATATTAAAATCTTACTCTGGGATCTCCGTTACGCGCAACTCGCGAGAATAATACTCGTACGCCTGTCAGCTCTACCCAATGGCCTGAGCGTATCCGCTATGTAGGGGTCCAGGCAAAAAGAAAAGGGGGTGAAATTATTTACATCAAACCATTAACATTCATTTTTATCCGGAGCGCCAAAAGGCTTGCATATAATAATAGGTCTATCATGTGGTCGCACCGTGCCTTAGGCACGAGGCAGGAAGAGGCATCCACCATATAGCCCGTGACTGTTTCTTCGTTGCGATGCAGCGATGGGTTTCTGAGGCAAAGGGGAATCACGAAACACAAAGTACTTCCTTGACAACTACAACAGAATAATAACTTTGTGGTGACAGATACCTGGCTAATGTATTGGATAGCAGAATGCAAGAACATTCCAAGGCCCGAATGTTTATCTGGCGTACGTACATTAAGTTGTTGCTTGCTCTTGCTTCTTGGCTGCTTTCTTTCTCTTCCTCTCAGATTGCGGCTCTTTAGTTTTTAAGTCAATGGAGAAGGTCCTCAATAAGGTAGATAGATGCTCATTTCGATGAGCTGAAACCAAAATACTAATGGTATGTAATTGAATAGTATAGACCAGTTGGCAGTAGAGTGATAATTTGGCAGTCGTAATTTTATGATTCCAGGAAAATGATGAAAGTAAAAAAAAAGTGATTATCCCTGAGAACTGAGTAAAACGAAACTCACCTGAAAGTATGACATCTTCCATGTTTACAGATTTACGATTTGCATGCTGAGCGAATAGTTCAGTATCCTTAGCCAGCTGCTCTGCTTGCAAGACAGTAACTGAGTTCAGTCGACGTTGCCTACGAATGACTAAAGCTCACTGGCATTCAAAGGTATGCAACGAGTTCACTTTGAAGTTTTATGCCTTCGGACAACAAGCATAAAGGTCGGTTATAGCCTACTGATAAACAGTACTACAGATTCCTTGCTCTGAAATGAGAAGTCTACTTCACAGGCTTCTATTCCAAGCAAATCACTGTGCCTTTGGTTCTAGAAGGCATCAATTTGATAATGGACAACGAGCAGTGATGGGGGCAGCTTCACTCAGTAATAATTTGCTATATTTCTAATTGTAATTGGCACTGAAGAATACAGCTTTATCATATATGCTATAAATACATTTTCCCCCCGAGTCATGGTATAAAATACTATTATCAATTCATCTTGACAATGACAGCAACAAAATCCAGACATACATATTATCCAAATAAGAGACATGATATATCATTAATTTTGAAACTAAAACTCGTCAGCATGGAAAGTCTGCAGTAATAAATATACAAGAAAATGGTTTATTCATTTTATTCCCCGAATAAATGTACAGATTACATTCGATCAGTGGCTTGCCTCCTGTAACTTGCATGAAACATGCAAGTGATATCAGTAATAATGACCTTCTGAATGTAAACACACTCTACATTCTACAGAAGCCAACCATTGCTTGTTTCATGCCTCGTTATACATTAATTCGATAAATCCAAATGGGCTAGACGCTTGTGCCAATGATACGTACAAGTCACCGTAAGAAGAATAAAATTTTAAAAATATTTTAAGCCCGCAAACTGAAGCTACACCAGTATGCCTAATCATCCTGTTTTGTATATTAGATATTATAATCACCCATGGAAAGAATGTGGATAACGTTTTTGTCGTATCGCGGACTTCCATTAAAGTTTCACCCATCCCAAATCAATAATTATTTTACATGCACTTTAGTAAGCAACTAATTAGAACAATGCAGAACACGGCATTAATACACTACTTAATTTTCATCACGAGCACAGTTAGATGGCATGAAATTGCATGAAGAATTAAGCGTCGTTTCTTAATTCCGTAATATAGAGTACGATAAAGTTAGCAGGCGAGTCTATTACTAAATTACAAATTTTAATTCTGCATCCACATAGGAGCAGATAAGGCTTGTTGTCGTTGTTGTATCCACAGAGTAGCGGATAACACAAGAATCGCAGAAAGAAATAGGAGGGAAGTAGAGTAATACCGGCATACTTGAAAGCCAAATCAGCAACGCAGGCCACCACGACTTCCGAAGCATCCATGCCGTTCCTCTTAGCTGCGCAATGTTTTCTCGAATTAAACAAAAAAAAAATCCGACGTGAAATTAGAGAATCTCCAATGTCGTTGACAGAAAGTTCGTGTTCCTTTGGCATTTAGTATTGGCAGTTAGTTGGATAAACGGAAGGAAAAACAGTGAGCGAAAGAATTGAACCTTCAGTTTCGGCGATGGAGATGGCGGAGAGCCTAAACCTATCTTTCAGGACTTGGGTCTTCGAGTCGATTCCTCCTCTTTCCACTTCTTCGACTCCAGCAACACCTTCCATTGCGATCGATCTGATCTTCCCTTCCCTTCGGTTTTGGTGCCCTTTTTCCCCAGTCTCTTGTTGGAGGGAAATACAATTGAAATGGCGGTGGTTTATAATGGAGAAAAGTGGAAGACGTTCGGGCCCCAATTTTAAATGGGCCGTATCCCATTTGGGCTGGGTCTTGCACCTGTCGCGTATCAAGCCCACCAAATAACAACTGTAACAAATTATGCAATGGCAGACCAAACAGTGAACATTATTCTTAAAAAAGGTAAAAATATTCCTTTGGCAAAAAAAGTAAAAATATTAAATAAATTAATTGAATTAAATATAGTCTTAAAATTAAGGTTGCACAATTAAGTCTCTTAACTGCGTATAATTCCAATAAATGTCATGAATTTGGAAGAAATAATGCAGCTTAATATCTATCATGAAATTAATGTATGCTTAACTTTCTTTCATTTTTAATGAAACGCTATTTTATTTCTACCACTTTAGTAAGATAATACTTGAAGAAATGATATTAAAGTATCAGACTCTATTGGAATGTCAATATTCTCAAAGTAGATTTTTTTTTATTTTGGTGTTGTGAATCCTTACGTTTGATATTTGTATTGTGTGCACAGGCAATATATATGATATAAAATTGAAAGTTGATTTGCGAAACATTTCTTTTTTTTTTTTAAACGATAGGTCAATGATCAAATGAATCATCCAATACTTTCATTCTTTTTGGGTTAAGAAATTAAACATGCTTTTGATTTCTTACCGAAAAAGTATACAGATATACATGATAAAATAGACCAAAACAAACCAATCGGAGTTAAGTCCGAACAAAAGAGGCTATTTCCTCGCATCATGGAAAACCAAGACTCTATTTTCATTGGAAAATGTGCATTGCATCAAACATAACTGCTACTGATAAAAATAAAATATTTAAAATTAAATTTATTATTTAATATTAAAAATTAAATTTATTATTTAATCGGTCAAGACATTGTTTCAAAAGATAATAATTAAAACTGTAATAGAATTGTTATTAAATTAGTTATAAACAAATATTTTATTAAACTTGACAAGAGACTAGTTTATCAATTCAAACCGGCGTTAACCTGAATTTCCACATAAAGGGTATATGCAATTTCAAAAAATATAATAAAACAAAAGATGGATTAACAGGAGTAAAAAAACTATATATATATATATATTTATTTATTTATTTATAAATTATAAAAATCTAGCAAATATTCTAAACAAGGGTGTTCAAAGTCTGCTCCTGACTTCCAGTTCCTTCCATCTTGCTTCCAATATGTGATTCATGTGATTCAATCTGGTAATAGCCTGCCAACCGTTACTTCCTTCTTTTTCTTGTACAATTCTCATACCTCGAGTCTTGAGACACTTGTCAACTCTTTTTGGGTTTTGCCTTTCAACCGCACCCAGGCAGCCAATGAGCCGTTGAATATCCAAAGGAAGTTATAAATGGAGATATCTATATCAATGGCAGTAAATCAAATTTTTTTAAATTATTGGATAGAGTAAATCGCTGCTTATTAGGAAGAGAGAGAGCACCTTTTTTCGAGCCTTCAAATTCTACACATGAACAAGTGAATCAGATTAGAAAGGAAAGGTAAGTTACCTTACGAATAACATCAAATCCAACTTAATTAGGAACAGTATAAGAGAGATGAAGTGGCATTGACCTACAACAGAAGCTCCCTGCACTTTGCTATTTGCATGTCAGCCTAATTCCCAAATTTGATCATTCAAAGACATCATCAGCTCATGGAACAGGAACAAGAGAAAACATGCGAAGATGTCGACGCTTCGCCTGCTCCAGCTGAAACCCTTCAAACAGAGACTTGTGCTCCCAACAATGAAAGAACCAAAACGACAAGACACCCTCGATGGAGCAGACAGGAAACAATCATCCTCATAGGAGCCAAGAAGGTGGTTGAGAATGGAGGGACAACGGTTTGCCGGCTCACCCAGTCTGAACCGAAATGGGATATGGTCTCATCGTTCTGTCAAAAACATGGCGTGAACAGAGGGCCTGTTCAGTGTCGAAAGAGATGGAGCAATCTTCTAAGCGACTTCAAGAAGATTAAGAAGTGGGAGGCGAATATAAAGAAAGGTTCGGAGTCATTCTGGATGATGAGGAACGATGAACGGAGGGAGAAAAAATTGCCAGGTTTCTTCGACGGAGAAGTGTACAACGTATTAGATGGAGAAGCATGCACGGCTTTGGCATTTCCGTTGAAGCTGATTAAGGTGTCAAAAGCGGAGAATGGTGATGGAGTTGCAGCAATGACGTCGGAGCAATGCGAGGAGAATGAGGAGGAGGAGGAGGCAGAGGCCATCGTTGACAGTGAGAAGACGGTTTGGAGCACAGAGGACGAAGCCTTTGAGATCATCACTAGTGGGAAGAAAGTCACTGGTCCGTTAAATGCTTCAGGTGTTGAGGACACAATCACGATAGGGAATCCCCAAAACACGCCCTCTCATCCTAGGCTTAGTTCAGGTACGGTACAAAGTCCCATAGAAATCGCCTCGGTTTGGATTTTTGTTTATTTCATACCAAATTCAGTTTTTAATTACATCGCGTAAATATTGTCATCTGAAACTCAATTTATTAGATAAAAGGGAAAAAAATATCTGGATGAAGTAATTCTTGCTACAAAATGGATTGGCAAACCAGTAATTAGCAATGATATGTTTATTCATGGGTACTTCATCCGACAGAACCAGCACCAAAACGGCATGTCCTGAGCAATAGATAATCTAAAACATGATATTTTATTACCAAAAAGGCATTCATGGCATTTTTTATACATTTTTTTGACTCAACGCTTACGAATCATAAGTATTAACAATGAAGAAGCTTTCCTGATCCTACTTTTGATTATCCACCATAATTAGTTTCATGACTGTAGTAACTCCCACGTCTATGCACATCTTTGTTGTTTGATAAATGATTCAACAGTACATAGAGAACCCAAGCATCCACTTCTATGGAAATCTGAAGCGAATTACACAGGCCCCGGCGAAAGAATAGAGACTATGCCCCAAGAGGAGTCCAAGAGAAGGCGAGTGTCACCAGACAGTCATGAGGACACCACAGCTTGCAGGAATCCGTTGATGAAAATACTGAGAAGGAATGGAAACATACTGAAAGCTCATCTTAGCGATCAAAATATGAGTTATCAGTTAGCCAGGGATCAGCAGAAGGAGCAAACAAGCAACATAGTTGCTGCACTTGGCAAGCTTACGGACGCGCTAACAAAAATTGCTGAAAAGCTATAAAAGAAATCAGAATAACAAGAAATGTCTTTCAGGAGCACCAGGAGTACGGGCATCTTCCAATTATGTTGATTTTGCCCTAGACTTCATGGTTATCTCTTATATGTTTTCCTTTTAAACAGGCATCTATATTTATTCCTCAAATCATCTGTCAGCATGATTTCCATTTAGTCTTGCCATGCTACTTACAGTGTTCTCTCCCTCTTCCTCGTAGAGTAATTTCCTTTCCTTTACTCGATCATGTAATCAATAAAGGAATACGTAATGAAAGATCAAGCGCATTAGCATTTTATCCAAGATCGTGTTTACTGTTTTCTGTAATAACATTTTGCATTTTTCCAATGCTTAGAGCAATCATCAGAATAAAATATCTTGAGATTTCAAGAACACATGCCGGAACCACGCCTCCTGATGACAAAAGAAGGAATGTCGCTAACAAGCCTTTGGGGCAAACTAGTTGAAATGGAAAAAGAAATAAAGGAGATGCAACGAATCGGTTACTGTTCAATTTCAAATTGGTTTTTCTTCCTTTGAGAACAAGATGCATGGTTGCATCCATCAACACCTTCTACGCTGTGAAGAAATCTGTAATTACATGCAGAGAATGGTAGCATACATAGCAGAAAAAAGGCCTTAAAATCTACATTAGGATTCCCCTCTAAATTATACAAGTAGAATAATCAAAATTTACCTTTCATCATCACTACACAGGAACAGCCTCAACAAGCCTGGCAAAGTAAAATTGCGTTGTGATTAAACCTCTCTTCCGTATTTTCCAGCCAACCTTCCGCAACGCCTTCTCTACATCAGCCTCTGAGTGGAGATAGGCCCTTGTTGCCTTTGAAGGCCCTGGGAACAACTCTCCAACCCTCTTCAATAAATCATAATAAAATGTCTTTGGTGCAAAACTCAGAATCAATCTGCTCTTGGCCAATGATGCAAGGTGTGAAATCATCCCATCAGCCTTGCTTTGGGGATAATGAATCAAAACATCTAGGCAGATCACCGTATCATACTTGCCATCTAAGCTCTCCAGATCCTTAACTTCAAATTTCGGCATCACTGGCGCTGAACCATCTTCACTGTCTAGAAGTTGTTCTTTTGCCTGCATATACAAGGATAGATGAAGTGAGGTCCCAGGCTACTGTATAAAGCAAAAGAGTCAAAAACATTAGTGGACTCTTACTTGACTTTGTTAATTCGCATAGCTACGAATGAGTTCTTTCTCCATTGCAATGCAAGCCAAAGGACAGATGACAGAATATCTCGTTTGTTTAACTTTACCAATGAATTATGAGAAAGACCGTAACTCTGTACAAATTAACCTTTTAATTTATGTTCTTTTCCGCCTTGTTGCTCGAAGTACACACATCAGCGGTAATTTGACATTTTTTGAAACCGTTGACAGTTAAGAAAGGTCGGTATCCACTACACAGAAAGCTAACCTGTTTCTCGGCTTCAGCAACCATAGCAGCGGAGATATCAGCCGCGGATACAATGGCGCCCTCTTTTGCGAGAGGAATAGTGAGAGAGCCAGTACCACAGCCAGCGTCGCAAATTGTAACCCCTTGAAGCGGACCTTGGTCTTTCAACATCAGCAAGGTGTTCTCAACAGTCTTAGCGTGGCCAAGCCTAATATCTCGCTGAACCCTGTTAACATCATCGGTATCTCCATAAATTTTCTTCCACCTCTGGAAGCCGGAGTTATTGAAGTAATCCTTCACAACTTCTTTGTCATCACCGCCAACCTCCTCCGCCTGAAGCCGTCGACGCCTCTCGGGGTCAGTAAACGAAAGTACCGCAGCAAGTGCCGCGACGGAGCCGCCGCTAATCATTGCAATGGTGGTTCCGTCGATTGCTCCGGAGATATCGGTGGCGGCGGCGGTTGAGAGAGGCGGAATGGCGAATGCTGTTGCTAATTTTAGAGGTTTTTGATTGGTGCGTGAGAAACTGGGGAAGCGATTGATTGTTTTGGGAAGATTTAGTGGAGACGACAAGGTCGATGAGAACGCCATCTTTTGGTGGAAGTTTTTCTTCCTCTCACCGGCCGGTGAGAGTAGTGGGAGTAGGAATACGTGTAAACTTGTGGATCGGGAGAAAATCCAGGATAAGATAGCATTTGAGCATTGGCTGATTCTCGTGGGTCCCAGTTCTTGCCACTATACAAATCCGTTTTCCCATCTCTCTCCTCTTCTCTTCACTTTCCCATCCCTGTCTTAAGGCGAAGACGGAGGAAGTGGAAAGAAAAGAAGAAAAAGAAAAGGAGAGTCCTTTCAGGAGAGAGGAGTTTCTTCATTTATTTTTTTCCTTTTTTTTTTTTCGCTTCTCTAATCCTTACCCTTCATTGTATTCTATAATTTAAAAAAATTATTTAATGAAATGATAATAAATAATAAAGATTTAAAAAATGAAGAGAAAAGGAGAGAAGAAAAAGGAGGGGCCTCCCCCCAGTGCCTCCGCCCATGGATTTTTTTTTTCCCCTCTCTTTTGGGAGCAAGCACTTAACAACAGGGATGCTTTTCGGGTAACCAAAACTATTAGAAGCGGCCCCACTATTAGTCGATGTGCTATTTGCCAAATTCACAGTTCAAAAGTTAAACCTGAGTTGAATCATTTATAATTAAATTAATATGGTTTAAATATTATATATTAAAATTTATAGTTAAACTGATGAACTCAAGAAAAAATTACTAGTCAATCCCCATACATTTCAATTTTTAAAGTCATACAAACACAATACATGAAAGTTCAATTACATAATCAAGTACACACTTACACTAATAGTCTGATACAACCAACAAAGGATCAAAAGCAACTTTAAAGAGTCTAATGCACGCACCAAATCTTCATACTGTTCAATATTCATGAATCTACATTCAATTAAAAAATAACGTTCGATTGCAATATAAATCTTTTAAATTAAAATTTTTAGAATTATGCTGACTATAAGAAGTATCTCTTTCAACTCTTATAGCATCCACTGAATTCAAAATAGGAGACTGTGAAATGTTCACGTCTTCACCAACAGCTAAATACATGTTGAAACAAAAAATTAATAATTATATATGATAATGAAGGAATAAATTATAAACCAACCAACGCTTCAATGTAAAAGAAGAAGAGTTGGGATAAATTATAAAAACTTTTAGCTTGCCTTAATTTAGATTCAAGACCAGCATCGATTCCAAGGGTAGGAAGCATGAGTTGGAGTTTCCACATTCATAAAATATGATAAGTTTAATTAAAATTTATAGGATCATAATTAGCATTTAGCACCCAAAAGGCTAAAACCATTAAATAATAGATGTTATTTGTGATATATGAAGTATCAAATATGAACTATGAAGGTTGAAGGGAGCTCTAACCTATCAACGAAGACTAAAGAAGCAAACAACACACACTTGATAGATAAATGAGGAAGATGGAGTTGCGAGATGGAGGAAGATGGAACATAGTTGATGAGGACAAGTAAGCAATCGAACAGGGCTAAGAATCTAGTGGAATGACTTGAAGGAACTCAAACAATATGAAAATGAATGACATGGATAGAAGAAACTTAAAGGTCGAAATGGAACACGATTGCGACTCACGAGTAGTGGAGCATGATGATACTAATAAAGGATTGAGGAACACGAGAGAGGAGTGCAATTAGATTGATTGAAGAAGGTGGAAGACAACCAAAAGAACAAGATGAGGGTTTAGAGTTTTTGTTCAACCATGGGAGTAAAAAGTGAAGGAAGTTTAAGTTTAGAAATTAGGATCCCATGTGCATTTTGTGCATGCTATAATGAAAAAAAAAAGACATCGTCTTGCAAGGTTGGAGAAGAGAAAAAAATATAAGGGAACTGCGTGGATCATGTAAACAATGATCATCCCAATTCAATCCGATTTACATTCAATTCAAGTAGTTTGAGGCCTGTCCCCTCCTACTCTTCTATATATTGTTTTTTGACTTATTGCCTAGCCAGTTCTCGATTAAATTGGCCAATTAGTCAGTCCAATCCCATCTTGATAATATACCTGCTAACATTGTTTGATTTGCCATTCTTGTTTGTTTTTGTGTGTCAAAAAAATTTAGCTTCATTTTATGTTTTTCGACATTGTAGATGGACCAAAAGTTCAAATTGGTTTTCCCACAAGCCAAGACTAGCATTATTATTTTTTTGAAATGCATAATCTCTATCTGTAAATTCATGCATTTGACGGGAAAATTGTGAATTTTCTCATGTGCTGCTAGCCATAAATGACTCGAATCCTGTTTTTTTTAGGCCATAAAAGGCTGGAAAGTCCTTCGACTATACTCTATTTTTCAATCATATTTCACTTAAAAGGAGTAAGGAAACTTGATCTTTTTTTTTTCTAAGAGTTATTGGTATTTTTTTTCCTTGCAATTCACAAATAACATGTTCTTGTTGACAAGTTGGTTTTTTTTTTAAAACTATATCATAATAGAAATTGACAATGCAGACATAAATAACCATATTAAGCGTTTTCCTTGACTGATTATTAAAGATATTAATTACTATAAATAAAGTATATGTTTGTATAATATAAAAGAAGATAAATTACGCCCATATCTAATATCTAACCGTGCTTTAAATAAAATCACCTGCAATAATAAGATATATGTGAACAAAAAAAAAAAGCAAATACATTGTTGATAATTTATAAATAGGGCTACTAGTTGTAGATGACCAGATACTATACTTATTTTTTTTTTTTGGGTCTGGGTAGTCTTATACTAGAGACAAATTTATTCAAGGTATATTAAAACAGAGGGAAGAATAACCTGCAAGTTCTTATAGTTTTCATCAACTTTGAATTAAGCCCATATAGTTTAGTTTGCTTTATTCAGGTTCTTATAATCCAATCAATTGAATAAATTAATTCTTAGAAATTAAATTTAGTAAGGAATAATTAACTTTTCAAAAACAAAAGCACTCTTCAAATTTATTGAAAAATTGATTTAATACTTTTAGCCCAAAAAAATTGATTTAATACAATATTTATATTTTCATTAATTTTTTATAAAAATTATATCTATAATTTTTTCATAAAATATTACATATTTATATAAATTTTGATTTAAAAAAATTATGTAATTAATTATAAAGTTTTATAATTTTTAATAAAAATATAAAAATTTTGAATTTCATTTTTTAAAAGAAAAAAATTAAATATTTTAATTCTAATGGATTAATATATTTCATTGATTAAAATATAAGGGCCTGATTTGGCTAAAAAATCATAAGTCCTGATTAAAATAAAGTAAGTTATAAAAATTTAATTTAAAATTAAAAAACATTAAAAGAACATACAAATTAACTTTCCTTTAAAATGAATCAGATTAGCCCAATTTGTACTGTGACTTGTGTTGGCAAAAATTGAAAAGCCCAATTTGCAGGGAAGAAGTGCCCGAGAATGGACCCCAAAAAAACAAAAAAAGCAAAAAAACAAAAAAACAAAACAAAACAAAAAACGCACCCAGGTTCGTGTAACTGGGGGCTGGTGTTCGGTGGCCGTCATCTTCAATTCGTTTTCCGCGACGAACTTCAGCAAATAATCGATAGATTAATCGTTAGCAGCTGCCTCGTCAGGCCTACAACATCCATCACCACGCGTCGCCTCTTATTGGATTAGGTTCGTCTCTAGTCCTTTCCTCTCATATCTTAGTTCCGAGATCTATCTATAGAGGATATTTGGTTGCCGAGAAGATGATGTGTTAATTTTAATCTCTCACCAACCAAAACGCATTTTGGCGGCTTCCTAATTTTCATCTACTGTGATTGCATTGTTTGAAATTACGAAGACTTGATGGGCAAGGAGAGCGAAGTTTCGTCTATGGAAGTCGACCATTCAAAATCGAATTCTGATCAGATCGTTCCCAAATTCTCTATAAACGGTTTGCCTTTTGAAATTTATCTTCTCCTTCACTACATGTACTCCTTCATTAATACAATCCTCTTTGAATCGGCTCCACCCTGTGCGCAGCTGAGTGTTCGTTAATTTTCAAAATCATCAATGTTTTTATCTCGACATTGTCTGGCGAATAAATTTCTAAGCATTAGCTCATGACGAGACTCTGGTCACTCAGTTTGATTCTTTATTTTGTCTTCCAGTATTGCAGCTCTTAAAATCCGCGCAAATGCAGCATGGCTTGCGGCACGGAGATTACACTCGTTATAGGTGCGCATTTTTTTTTAATCATTGTTGATATGATTTCAATTAGGAATTTGTTTATCCGTGTTTAGATGTGCTTTCGTCCCGGAGAATAACACAGGAGAGACACCTTACTGAACTACAATGTGCTACTTCTACCACCATATTGCCACACGCCAGTTTTGCTTTTACTCTCCTCCTGTATTAATTTACGCTTTATAACTTTGTGTACCTTACTGAGCCACGGTGAACTTTGAGTCTTACAGTACAGCATTTGTTTGACGTAGATGGGAAATGATTTTATGGTCTAACTAATCATTGCGACTTATAGAATCAAGCAATTGCTTTATATTAGGACCTATCAATAGATTGCTAATGGATGGAATTATCATCTTCAATACTGTAGGAGATATTGCACAGCTCGTTTGAGGAGGTTATATAAATCTTTGAAGTTTACACATGGTCGTGGCAAATACGCAAAAAGAACCATTACTGAATCTACTGTTACTGAAGTAAGGTATGCTTAACTGTATCTTTCCGTTTTGATATAAATTCTGCTACTCTTTCGGTTTTTCTGTTTTGATATCATGTTTTTTGGATGGATGCTTAATTGTGCTAGTTATTTCGTTTCAATTCAGGTTTCTTCATATAGTTCTCTATTCAGCAGAGAGAGCTTGGAGTCATGCCATGGAGAAAAGACAACTTCCAGATGGTCCAAATGCACGGCAACGGATTTACTTGATTGGCAGGTTGCGGAAAGCAGTGAAATGGGCAGCTTTGTTTTCACAACTTTGCACAGCCAAGGCAGATTCTAGAACATCTTTGGAAGCTGAGGTGCGTCTTTTAGTCACTGTTTCAGTAAATTTATCTGGTGACTTTTTGGTTTTCTAATTTATGCATTTCATGGGGTTATGGTTTATACGCTAAAGTACTTTATTTTGCTTTTTGTCGTTTGTTTCTTTTTATTTTTTCTTACATTGCTTTCCTGTCCACATTTGCTGAGCAGATCAATTTAGCATTTCAAATGTTTTCCTTCT